TATAATACTTCTTTAAGCAATGTAATTAACCAAAAATAGTTAGTTTAAACTAAGAAATTGTTATCCAAAAAGAATTACTTTGTTTAAATTTGATTAATCAATATAAAATAATAAGCAAGTATAAATAAGATTAATATAATTGCTAAATAAAACATAAGAGCAAAAACAGTCTATTAAATAATAAATTTGAAATAATACATTAAATTAATATTTTGGTGGTTTTTAAATTTAGGCTTTATCTCTTTTTTAATTTGCTTTTTCTATTTCATTCATCTCAAAATCTTATTATCTATGATTAATAAATTTATTTACATTATTGTATCAGCATTTAAAATATTCAAGGATTATTTTTTATATCCATATTCTAAATTATTATAAATTTAAATTACATTCTTCTTCAAAAAGAGAATTTAATTATGCAAATAATATTTAATATTATTTCATAGCTTTAATTTTATCTTCTTTAGGTAAATTAGTAACAATAATATATATAGTATTAATATCATTACGAAACTTAAATTTAATCAGCAAAGAAAATATTGAATTAATTACCATTAAAGATAATTGAAATATCATAAAGAGTATGAGATTATCTATAGACTACTATTAATATAGAATAGCATCATTAATTCTTGAAATAACAGAGTCTTACATTAATTATTATGTATAAGGTGCCATATAATCTCTAAAATGTGATAATATAGGATTATTTTATTTTATTAAAGATTTATCTGACTGATTAAATTATAATAAATTAACTTAAAACTAATCAAATATATCCAAACCACTGACATTTTTATCATCACTATAAAATCCAGAATAAACCATTGAAACAAAATCTTAATTAGAGTAAATATTGCAAATATAAGTAAAATAATCATCAATTTCTTTGTTAACAAAATCATAAAACTATTCTGTTGTATTGAATTTTGTTGTAGAACTAGTAATTAATAAATTTGATAATTAATTTTCATTCATTAAAGCTACATCAATAATATAATTATATGATGACACAGTTAATAATTAGATTTTATAAAGATGACCTAATAAAGTCACTGAATCGTGTATAGTAATAGGATTATAGTAAAATGAGCAAAAAAAGTAAGTAAAAGAAATAAATAGCAATTAAACAAAAAATGAAAATCTATTTAAAACTATTAGCAAAGTCAACTTTTAATTCTTCTTTGATAGTTTATTAATCTCTTCTTTAATAAAAGGATCATTTTATTCATTTAAACTATATATTGTATTGGATCCTTAGACTAAAAAATCATCTCTAAGTGTGTAATCAATTAAAAATGGTTTTTAAGTGTATTCTCTATTTGAAATTAATTCCATATCTAAAATAATTTAGTAGATTACCAGAATATTAATAACCACTATGATTTTTTAAGTATTATGATTAGGTTTAGGATTGAGATGATATTACAACTTCTCTAACTAATGCTGAAGTATATGGTTTGAATGAATTGGTATTGACAAATTCAACTTCCTATTTATCAGAATTATTTGTATTTTCATCATAGAGTTCTAAACGATTTATTTTTAAAATATAAAAGGATATTTTATTTAGAGTTTTATAGAACTTGATATTAGCATCAACTTTTAATACTTTTTCAAGTACTTTTTCTGAACAAAAATGTTCAAATAAATTTTCTATTTTAATTATTAATGCTTACTAATTTTTGAATATATAAACTTCATTCTTTATTATTTAACCCATCTATATCTTTAAAGAAATTCAAATTTATCTAATCTTAAATTTCCATTATCATTTCTAAATATCAACTTCTTCTTACTTTCCCCATCATAATAAATAGTATACATTTATGCATCATATCTATTATAATCTTCTTAAAATTCAGCCTTATATATAGGTATTCTAATATTTAATTTAATATGATTTAATCTAGTTAATTTTGCAGTTCTTTCAATTTCATTATCTTCTTCAAGAATTTATTAAAATAATTAAATTACATTTTATTTTTATTTTTCTTCTAATTCTCTTTTAAATACTAAACTTGTTAATTCATTTATTGATTTATTACTAAATGTTTAATCATTTTATCTTCTGAATGTAAATTTCTTATCTTATATTCTTTCTCTGCTACCAAAAGAACATAATTTCAAACTCAATATTTTCATATCAAAATTAGTAAGGAATTGTGCATATTCTGTATATGAAATGGCTTTTGGACATAAAGATAGAAAAGGAAGTTTATAATCACCAAATATTGAATAAAGATATTCACTAGAAGAATCAATTTCCCATTTTGAATTTAAAACAATATATTGAGAACGACTTGTTACTTATCTTAACATACTCAAATATTCAAATCTATCTTACTCTAAATTAAAAATATATTTTAAATATTTTTAAGCTTTAAAACAATGTCCTTTGCTATGTTTTACTAAAATAGATCTTCTTTTAAATAAATTTTCAGATTATCCTGTTTTATAAAATTATTTTAAGAAATCATTATGATTTTCTTTAATTATGTCTGGCATTAATATTTCAACTCTAGCTCCTCTATATTCATTTTAAGGTCTACCTAATATTTTAAGTGTTGATTAACTAGCTGCTATAATTTCACCATATTTATCAACACGAAAAAATAAGTTATTAGATGAAATTATACAATTTGTTTAATAATAACTTTTAGTTTAAGCTTCATCTTCACTAGAAGATCTTTCATCTACTTTTTCATCTGAAAATATTTATTATGATTTAAGATTTTAATCAGGTAATTCTTTAATTTCTTATACTTTTAATTTTTTATGAAGAATATAAAGTTTAAAAAATAAATAGAAAAATTTCCATTTAAATCTTATTAATATTTATTATTCATCAATTGGATTAACAAAATGAATATTTTTCCAATTCTTCTGACAAATTTATATCTCTTTTAATATTTATTAACATATTTTAATTTATTCAGGAATTGAAATAAATTATTAAAGTTAATTTTTCCAAAAATATACTTACAATTCTGCTATTTTTAAAAATGCCTAAAAAAATTCTTTCATTTATTCTTCACATTTTAATATGTTTTCAAAAGGTAATTTTGAACGATAACTCAATTGATTATTTTCTTTTAATTTATTGTGAATAGATAACTTTAATTATTTTATTCTCATTTTTTAATTAAAATTGATATTATTTTTAATTTTTGATAAATGTTTGAATGATTGATTGATTAAATTAAATTTATAAAATAAGATTTCTGAATAAAGCAATCGTATTTCATCAGAATTAGGTTATAATTTTAATTATGTTTCAAGTAAACATTTAATCAAAAACTTAACAAATAATCCTTTATATTTTTCTATATTGTGTTTCTTAGTTGTTATATAAGTATATTTGGCAAATTTCTTACCACTGTAATATATGGCATTTTATCTTAAGAAGCATTTCTTATTATTTGGATGATTATAATGTTTAGTTACAATTCCCATATAATATATATCTGAGCATTCTAATTCTCTAAACCAATTTAATAACATAACTCTAGTTGGAACATCTTTAGAATTAGTGAATTGATATTCAAAATACCACTTTCTAAAACTAGTATGAATGATAACACAAGTGATAATTATAAAAATTGTTATTAAAGTGTAAGGATCATTAATATTTATGTAATATTAAATTAATAATCCAAGACTTTATCCAAAATATATAACATTAACTAAATGAAAGATATAATCTATATCATATTTTCCAAAAATTAACATAAAATACTATAATTAAATGTAATTTATAAATGATAATCCAAAACTAACAAGTAAATAAGTCATCTAAAAATTATTATTTATTAAATATACATGAGAATTTTTATTTACATAATAATAACTTGAATATGAACATTAAACTAATTTAATCCAACTATTAAAAATATAGGGTCTAGATTGTGCAATATTCAAAAAGTCTTATTTATTAAAATTGTCATTAAGTAATGCAAAATCATGAAAAAATGTAAAGAATACAACAAAAAGTATAGTAAATATTGAAAAATATTGACTTATGTCATTGTTAATAAAAGTGTTATAGGTTGATACTAATAAAAATGGATAACACAGAATCCAGTACAATATTCTTATGGATCTTATAAAAATCTATATAAACTAAATGAATACATTTCCAAGACTAGTAAACTATATTTATCGTGTCTAATTGTTGTTTTTATAGAAAAGAAGTATAATTACAAGTATTGTGAAAAACAATGATAAAGCAAATTGGATTATTGATATAATAAATGTAAGTTATTAATTACTAAAGATGATATTGCTAACATCTAATTAATTGATTAATGTCGATAAATTATAATTGTTTGAATCTCTTGTCTATGCTATAATCATATAACTAATTAATTAAAATTCTTCTTTATTTACTTATGATAATGATTGACAAGGATCATAAAATAATGTATTATTATATAAGCTAAGCTATTCACATATTTAGACACTATCTCTTGTCTAATTTCGAAAGTAAATAGAAAAAAGGGGTTCATGATTTTAATAATCTCAAATTGATATAATATTTAAATTAATTTCAACATAAGCCCACACATTAATTATCATTATCAGCAATTATTTAATATTCTAAAATATTGTAAATACAAAGAGTCTTATTTTTTTTAATGATATTTTTTTTGTAATTTAAGACTCTAAAATTTTCTTACTGAAAATTAATGAATAGAATATTGAAATCAAATCAAACTCACTACAATAAGATGATACTATAAATATCAATAAGATAATCAGATATAAAATAAGAAACTCATTTTATTAATATTATAATATTTCAAAATTAGAAATATTTGATATTAAATCAATTTCTTATATGAAAAATTAACTGTAGTAATATAATTAAAAGCTTAAGATTATTTGTATAATTATGATTAGTTATCATTTATATTAATAGACTAATATTTGTAATTATTATTATTATTATTAGTTATTTATATTTATTTATATATAATTTGTAAATATTTTAACAATTTATGATAAACGAAGCACTATTAGATATTTTATTTGCTTAATTTGAAGATGTAAATGAAATGAATTAAAGAGATAAAAGTAGTTTAGATATAAACTTTGCAATGAGATACTTCAAAGACATTTTAGACTGTGATGCATTATTTGCAGGATTCAAACCTTAAGGTTAAAATGAAGAAACAAGTGATGATGATAATGAAGAAGAAGTAGAAAGTGAAGTTGAATAAAAAAGGATTACATAAGGATAGAATCTAAAGATCAATGAACCTAATTTGTAGAATATTAAATTGGACCCTGATATGGATTAAAATTAATATTTAATAAGTAATCCTTAATTAAGAACATTTTTACGTCAAATTGATTTAAAAAACAAAAAATCATTAGAATAAACTAATAATACTCGTTAATAATAGAATCTTAAATATCCTGTATATGCATTTTCTGATTTTTATTATGCTGCAAGTGAAGATGTTAGAATGATATATGATAAAGTCATTAATGATATTCTCTATAAATATAAGAAAACTAAATCATTTAATGGTAATGATTATGATTCTTTGATGTAGTTTTTCTCAGTTTTAACTGATTAATAAATAAAGGAACATTTATAATAGAATAAAGATTCAGAAATTATTTTGAATTCCTTTAAAAAACAAAAATGTTTAAAGAGTCTTGAAAAAAAACTATCTCTCTATACTAAATTATAGAATGAAAGCAAAGATAATTATACAATTTTATGTTAAGAGGAAATAGTTGATAATCCTTATGGGATGATTCAAAGTTATTAGAATCCCCTATTAACACCTAAATTTTATTAAGAATTAAATGAATTAATTAATAAAAAACATAAAAAGATAAAATTAGAGGAAGATATAAATTATAAAAAAGAAATTTAATAGAAAATGAAAAATGAAAATTATATCAATTTTTAAGAAGTAGAAGAAAATGAAGAGTTTTAATAATAAATCTAATTGGATTAAGATCCAAAAAAGAATTAAATGGAAATGGAAGCTTAGATTAGATAAAAAGATAGTGAAAACCTGAGAAGATTTTTTACAGGTAAATTCAAATTATTTGAATATGAATAATAATAATAAGATAATTTCAATATAGAAATTAAAAATCATAAACATTAAAGAATTTTAAATAAAGAATCCTTTTTGTATTAATGTCCATAAGAAAATATTAATGCATTAAAATGTTAAGCATAGATTGATGAACCAGGAATGGGATTATTGCAACGTATTTAATAATAATTAGAAGATGAGAAGAAATTGAATGAATAATAGAATTAATAAAATTAATAATTAGATGAAGGTTTTAAATAAGTGGAAATAGATAAAAAGGAATAAGAATTTTAAAAGGCTTTAGATAATTATTCATATTACAATAAAGAGATTGTTGAATTTTGTATGGGTTATAAGGAAAACTTTTTATCAAAATCATTTTAAACTTATAATAAAGTAGAAATTGATCTTTAGAATCGGTAATTCTTTAGTGAAAAATTAGAGGTTTTATTACATTAAAAGAAGTTTCCAGAGAAAATAGGAACATAATAATAAATAGCTAATAGATTGGCTGCTCCATCAATAATTTCAAGATAAAAGGATAATAGAAGTGCTGTATCTCATGTTAATTTACTAAGTGTTGAGGATTAGTAGGAATCTTAAGATTTATCATAATTTGAAGAGGGAATACAATAATAATAGGATTTCAATTAATAATTTGGTAATGAAGATGTAGCAAATAAAGAATTATAAAATTTGATTGAATCTAAAATGAAAGCATTTTAAACAACACCATTTTATAATCATTCTTAAGTGGCAGAGTCATTTCTTTTAAATGATTTTTCTTAAGTGTTAACAAAACATGCAAAATATCATAGAAATAATATTATAGATAATTTATATGAAGAGAAAAGAGAACTTCTTGGATTAGAAAGAGAATAAGTTAAATATTTTGATCCATGGCCTACTGAATTAGTTCCTTTAGTAAATTTAAAGGAATAAAAAAAAGACAATAGAGATATATTATTAGAAGAATCTACTGAAAAATAAAATAGTCATGAATATTATAAATAAGTCGAAAATTTATCATTATCAAAAGGAAATTTTATATTGATGGAATATATAGAATAAAGACCATTAATCTTAAATAATACTGGAATGTGTTCTAAAGTAACTAGGTATGTTTATTCTAGTAGAGCATAACAATAATTTAATTAGAAAAGAATTAAGGATGAAGGAGACAATTATAATAATACTTAAGAGAATAGTCTATAAGCAAATTATAGAAGTACTTATGGTTAAATGGGATAGATTTCAAATGAGGAGATGACTCTTTGGGAATTCAAAAATATGTTAGTTGAACAATTAGGCAATATAGGTTAAATTAGATTTTTAGATAAGAATGGAGCAATACCACTTTAAGGATAATTAACAGATGAACGATTAATAGGTATAGCAGTTATAGAGAATGATCTTTACAGGGCTCCTATATTCAAATAGAAATTGCCAATTACTGATTTTCTATTGGTGAGAACTAGAGTTGATAATTGTCATTATAAATATACACTAAGACCTATAGATTGTATTTATTTAGTTGGTTAAATTGAACCAAAAGTAGAAATCTTTACTCCTTAATCAAGACCTTTAGGAACATTTTTAAAGAATTGTTTAAAAACTTATATAAAGAAATAATTTAAGATGGGTTTGGAAGTCAAATAGGATGAATTGGAATTAATATTTTAGAAATAAAATTAAAAATAAAGTTAAAAATAAAGCCACACTTATATTAGATCAGCTCTTAAAGAATGTAAAGGGATATAGGATACTTCTAATTAAAAAACATGGAGATATTAAAAAGGAAGTAATGATGATATACAAGTTCTTAAATATGATATAACTGCAAATTAAGTATGTTTATATGAGTCTATGTTACATTCATCTTATTTATTATAAGATTTTGGATTGAGAGAACTTAAGAATAGTGATAAGATGAAGAAAACTCTTTAAGAATATATGTCTAGAAATCCTTAAGATTTTAATAGTTGGGTAATTGCTAGGAGAATTGAAGATGAATTAAATATGACTGCATGGTCATTATCTCAATCATTTCTGAATTCAGCTAATTAAACAGGAAGAATGTTATTATTTGGAATTGGAGATCCTACATCAGGACATGGAGGTTTGAATTATATAAAGAAACCTTAAAAGGCTAGAGGTGAGAAAGGTTAGAATGCAATTCAAGAGAAGAAGCCTTAAGTAATGGGTACTGACAATGATTTACGTAAGTTGCATGTTGAAGATATTTAAAATATATCTACTTAATTAGGATTGAAGGTAAATAATTTATTAAAATTAAGACTGAAGCTAATCTGAAGAGATGGAAAATGATTAATAAATTAACAGCATTTTTATAAAAATCATTGAATCCTGATGATAAAGATAGTATAGATGCTGTAATGTTTAGAAAGAATTTAGAGGTATTGGATGATAAATAGAGAAAATAATTGAATGTGATTGAGAAGTATGCTAAGAATTAGAGATAGACAACTAAAAAGTAAAAAGAATAATATCAGAAAGAATTAGATAAACAATTAGCAAAATTAATATAGAATCTTACTATAAAAGTACAAGGAAATTACTTTGAAGATTTTGAAGAAGTAAAGAAGAAAAGAACAAAGAGAGATTTTGATAAGGATGATAAGAATAAAGATTTAGAGTATAATGATGAAGATATTAAACCATATCTAATAATGAATTAAGAGAATTATAAATTAAGAATTGAGGCATTTTAAAAAAAAGAGATGAAGATTTGGTTAGAGAAAAAGAAGAAAAAGGGATTACCTTGAATTCTCAATATTTATTCATAATGTTTTATAGATTTAAATAATAATAATTATTAATTATGTAAATTGACGAAGTTGTATGGTAGGTGATAAATCGTGGTCATTGTTCATTTAAGATTAAGTAAGAAATAAAATATTAAGAATAGAACAATTTCATAGAATTTCTGTAGAAATGAATATAATGTAACAGGTTTATGTTCTAAATAATCTTGTCCATTAGCAAATTCATAATATGCCACAATTAAAGAAGAAAAGGGTTTATGTTATCTTTATGTAAAAACAGCAGAAAGAGCATAAAAACCAAAAGAATTATGGGAGAAGATACTATTATCAAAGAATTATGAATAAGTACACTTATAAAAATATAAATTATAGGCATTGGCTTAAATAGACGAATAGTTAAAATATTGGAGTAATTTTATGATTCACAAAAATAAACAAAGATTAACTAAGTTAAGACAAATGTTGATAAGAATAAGGAAGATGAGATTGAAGGGATTGTAATAAACTATAATTTATAATAGTAAGGAATTAATTCCAATTAAAAAGAAAGCAGAAAGAAGAGATAAGATAAGAGAATAAAAAGCATTAGTAGCTGCTAATTTAGAGAATGCCATAGAATAAGAATTGATAGATAGATTAAAAAATGGAGTATACAATGAAATTATGAATTACAATACTAAAGCTTTTGAGAAAGTTGTTGGTTAAAATTAAATGGAAGATGAAGAAGAAGTATATTATAATGAATAACTATTTATATAGAGAGAATAATAAGAATTAGAAGAAGAGGAGGAAGATTATTCAGATGAAGAATTGATATTCGATCCAAATGATTTAGAAGAAGATGATGATGAAGAAGATTAAGATGATGAAGAAGATGATAAAAGATTATTTTAGAAATAGACATTTAATTAATTAAGAAGAGAAAGTAAATATTAAATAAAATTTATAGATGATGAAGTAAAGGATATTAAAAAGAAGAAACCAAGAGTATAATTATAATATGAAGAAGAAGAAGAAGTAGAAGATAGAAAGAAATAATAAATAGCATTTTGATTTGTTTATAATATAATTTATTAGTATAAATCTAATATCAAAATACTTTATCTAACACATCTTTAAAAGATTGTACATTTTATTTAAATAATGACGACTATCTTTTTATTATTGTTTTCTTTGGATTATGTTTTTCTAAAGAATTAATAAAAATATATTACTTTAATTTTCAAGGAAACTTGATGGAGATTTTTAAATTGTTGTATCCTATGGTGATGATTTACTAATAGGTTCTAATATTATGCAATGTTAGTAATATTGAAATGATTTTGTTTCCTTATAAATATTTAAATGGCCATAATTTCGTTGTACTCTAAGATCATCTAAATCTATTGTTTAAGTCAATCTATTTTAAGAAGCTCTTGAAACTGAGGCTCCAATATTCATAGATTATTTTTTATCATTATCTGATGAACTGGTTTATTCTGTGTATTCATCAAGATTTTTGGTTTTCTCAATGAGTTTTTAAGTGTATGCTTCCCATGTTTTAAGAGCAATCAATACATTAAGATATTCCGAAAGAATATTGAAATTTTAATGTTTAGAACTATATTCATCCTAAAAATATTCTTAATCTTCTTATTATTCTGATTTCATGTTATTTTCTTTCATTTTTCTTTTCATTGATATATCAAATTATTTCATTTGAGATCTACCAATTAATGATCCTGATTTAAATACACTTTCTTTAAAAGCAAATCGAATAGTTTCATAAAGTAATTCATTAAAATAAACATATCCTTATTTATTTGCTCTAATTCTAAAATTAGATGCACTCTTTGCTGCATCCCATACATTATCACCTTCGAGAGCTCCTAAGGGTTCATGTAAATCTAATAAAAATCGAGCTATAAAACGAGTATGCATTTTAGTTCCTTTTGTATCATATGTATATTTACACCATACATTACAGAAATGATCAACATTTTCAACAAATGTCTATATAGCATTAGTTGAGGCATTAAAGAAATCTAATATATAATAATTATTTAAATTACTTTCAAATTAATCTACTAAGGCTAATACAAATAAATTCATAATGATAATATTTGAAAATAAATAATATGAAAGAAAGAATGGTAAAGACCATGAAGATCCACATTAATTAGGATCACTTTTACAAAAATAATTTTAAGTAGAACAATCTATAAGTAAAGCTCTCCAATCATCACCTGTAGTACATTTGAACATTAATAATGCAGAATTAATAAAATTCTTAAAATTAGCATATTTATCATCTATTACTGATCCATTTGTAATATGTGAAAATAATTCCTTTCCTATTAGAGCATATGTAGTTTAAGCTATGACTTGAATATATAAGATTTTTAATAATAATGGCATTGAAAACCATAGCACTCTTAATAATCTTAATAATCCTTTAAATTCCTGAATAATCAATAGAATACGAATGTCTCTTAAACAAAATAATATTCTATAAAAAGTAAAGTATTAATCAGATTAATTAGCACCTAAGAAAGTAGTAAACCATCCCCAATAAGTATCATAGATAAAATCAGCTACAGCTATAAACGAAAGAGACAATTCAATAACTCTCCAATTAGTAGCTATATATATATTAAAAATTATAAATACCAAAATATCTAGTAGGACCATAAGCCAATAATTTAATTATAGTATCAAGAGCAAATACACCTGTTAATACTTAATAAGTCTTATTTAGATTTGACATGTATTCATATGATGCATCTGAATAGAATAAACATAAAACAATAGTATTTATACATAATACAATTATAAAGAATTTATGATATAATTGACTAAAAACAATTCTGTAACATAATCTTCTAAGTGGTGTTTTTGGTGGATTACTATATCCAGGACTTTATTTTAATATTAATTCTGAGATTTTTAGAAATTATGATTGATCACTAGTCAAAAACTTATTTTCTAATTTTTTAGTATACTTTTAGAATTCTGTAAATAGAACACCAGTAAGGAATCCCATAAAAAACATAGCTCCAATAAAAATAAATAATATAAAAAATAAATAAGTAGCCCATTAAGTTTTAAGAGGTGTAGGTCCAAATTTAGAATCATTTGCATTAAAACATACTTACATGATTTCTCCCCATCCATCTAAAGATGCAGCCAAAAATAATGTTAATAATCCATTTAAAATATTTTCGAAATTATATGGATGAATTATCCAAGTCTTATTTTATAGTAAACATTAATCTTTATTGACATAAAAATTCATTAAATCTTCACAATAACCCATTTTATTTTAATATAAATGCATTCCTATTACATCAAATATCAAAAACACTAATAAAATAACTCCTATAATATTTAGAATTTAAACTAAACTCAAACTCATTGCATTTTTAATACCTGATATACTTTAAAACATATTTATCATCATTAAAGGACGTAAATAAACTAAATATATATATATATAAATATATACTTAAATAAAGTGAGAATTTCAAAAATGGAGACAATGTCAAAAAAGACAAATAATAACTAAGTAAATATATGATATCTATGAATCTCCAAATATCTCTACAGAATGCTCCTTAATCCAATAACATTCCTTATGATATAATTTCTAAAATATATGTAATTGCAATGATTAGATTAACAGCTAATAAATGAAATTCATAAAATGTATTTAAATTATTTGTATGTAAAGATGGTAAATTATCATCAAATGATATTATAATCATAGTAGCTACTGAAGAACAAATGGAACTATTCAATATCAATTTGAAAATAAAAGATTAAGTTGTTCTATAACAAAACTTTCTAAATTAATTATTAAAATGAAATATGAATAAAGAATATTCGCATTCAATATCTTTATAATACTATATTTCTAAAGATTTCTATTTACTAAATATATGTTTAACTGTTTCAGGTACTTATTAATAAATACTTTTTTTGCTATTAAGTGTTTATCTTTTAATAAATTATTATTATTAAAGTTTTATATCATTAAGTATATCTTCATTTTATTCCTTCTCATTTTTATATGATGATAAAGTATCTAATTGAGTATCATTATGATTAATATTCTCTTGTATTCCTAATTTTTATAATATTCTTTCTCTCTTTTCTTCATATTAATTCCCTTTTTCTAATTCTGATGAAAATGCATCCAATAATACTGCACTCACTAAACCATATATTAAATAATTCAATCCAAATACCATTGTTATATAAAATAACAATCCAATCCATGTATCAGTATATTATGTAGCTACTTTTAACATTCCAACTGCATCATCATTTGTAATTGTATTAAATACAGTCATCCATGATTTTCCTATGCTATTAAATGAATGTAATTAAGCTAATCTTTATGATTCATCAAATTTATTCACAAAAAATTATAATCCCATTATAGCATACATAAAAATAACATAAAACATTAAAAATGTAATATTTATATATGATTTCATTGTTAATTAAGCAATCTTCATTATTCTTACTATAAATTTATTATATTTAATAACTCTATATAACATAAATGCTTTTGATGCTCTTAATACTTTAATTTCACTACTATATTATACCAACCAAAATGGTTAAGTGATTGAAATAAAATATTATAATAAACATAATACAAGAACAAAGGCATCCAATTTATTACTAGTCTTTTTACTAAAATCTTGAATTCCATATCCTATAATCTTTAAAATGATTTCACCCAATAATAAGAATGTCATAACTGAATTGATTTAATCAACCAAATCAGAACTTAAATAACCATCTGAACAAAGAATAAAAAAATTTATCATAGTATATAAATCAAAAATAATTGAGACAGTCTTTTCTTCTAATAATTAATGTAATTTAAATTAAATAACAATCCAATAACCATAAAATCCTTATATCCAAATATTATATTAATGTTTATTAAGTTATTTTAGTATTGCTATCAATTTACTTTTACTTACATTTCTCAATATATTAAGTATTGAAATATTATGTCTCCTTATATATCCTTATTCTAATTCTTTTTTCTATAAATTTATATAAAATAAATTACTCTTATTTTAACAAAGTGTTCATAATTTTAATCCATCCAATCCAAATCTATAATTTAATCATCCTCTAAATCATCTTCATCATCTAAATCATTAATCTTTCTATTTATTAATATTGAACATGCTTCATGATTCCACTTTATATCATTTATAATTATATAAGATTATCCCTCTTACCATTCTGGAAATTCCATAAAACCATCTGAAGTACCTCTTGCCATTCTAGTTTGAGACTTTTAAAAGAATTATCTTTGTTTTCTTAATTGATCAAAATAAGATTTACGAGTTATTGTAGATTTGTTACTAGGTATTTCATTTTTTGAATTATCCATGTCCAATTCAGAAGTAAACATTCTTTTACTAATTTTAATTGGAAATTTCTATTTGATTTTTGAAGCAGTACTTTAATCTCTACTTCTTGTATTAATATCATATTTAATGCTATAAAGTCTTTAAATAGATGGATGTCCATTATCTGAAGATTATAATTATTATGATGTTATCTTTTCCTTTTATTTATCATAGATATCTAACATATAATATTATTTCAAATTATGTCTTTTAACTTTTTCATATTATTCTTTGAGTTTTTTCTCTTTTTCCAATATCTCCTTTAATTCACTTATTACATCTCTTTTTGATGTAGAATGATATGGTGAGTATTTTAAATCTAATTTCCATGCCAATACATCATTATATTTTAAACTCATTAATATTTTTTTACCTTTAACATCTCCTTATACTGCCTATTCATATTTTGATTATTCAATATTAAAATTTCTTTATGGTTATAAAATAGCTTTCAAATTACATTTATCAAAAATGCTTTATTCATTATTATTAAATATACCCATTTCTTCATTCTCTCTCTTTTATAATAATCTTTATTATCTAGCTGATAAGATTAATCGTTATTATTTTTTCTTCTCTTTTACAGTCTTAGCTCTTCTTATCATTTTCTATAATTTATTAATTTAACCAAATCCATTTGTAAATTATGACTTTACTTTTTAAGATTTTTGTAACAATTAACTACCTTTTGGTGAAAATATTAAATTATCAATTGATTTAATTTATGAAATATTAGATTAATTAAGTGATTATTGAGAGAATCTTTTGCGTATTTTTTATAATGTTTTAATTTAATTATACAATCCAATATTTTTAATAAATCTTAAATTTAATGGTTCTATATATGATTATTTATTTGATAATTCTTCTTTATCTTCTTAATAATTAGATACAATTTAAGAATAATATGTTTTCAAAACAGCAATAATTAAATTAAATGCAAAAAATCCTATATTAATTTAATAATAATATTATACCTACAATAAATATAACCAAAACAAAATAAATCCATGTCATTGGACTTAATGTATACATAGTATAATACATAACATCTGTCCAATTATCCATTGTAATTGTACGTATGATTTATGCAAAAGCAAAAAAGAAATTATCAAAATTAGTAGCACTATCAACATTATTTAAAGATTTAAAACATTTCATATTATTAGGACAATTTACCCAACCACAAATATTTTAATTTAAATCCTATATCCCTTCCTCAATATAAAAACATTTATTCAATAATAATTAACTAAATAAATGAACGCCAACATTTGCAAAGAATATACAAAATATTAATACTACCAAAGATGCTTCCATCATATACTTTAATGATTCTGTTAAAGCTTTTAATGTCTTTTATAATTATGAAGATATCTTTGCTAATTAAATCAATATTCTCATTGCTCTTAAGGGTGAAAAATCAAATGACAAACTACCATATATGTACAATCCAAAAAGAATAAGCTTTATACTTTTTTAATATCTTACATTAACTAAATCGTAACAATTCCAAAATACTTTAAAAAACTAAACTAATCCTAATCCAACTATTTTTATACCATGTTCTACTACATAAATCCAAAAGAATACTATTTTATAATTTAATATTTATTACTTAATGACCAACCATCAAATAATTATTTATATGTAATATAAACATCATCATAAAATTTAGTTATATACAATACCATATTTATTGATACTAATAATAGCATTATAAAGTTCGATACTATATTGGTTGTTATTTTATAACAAATTAATGAAATTGAATTAAAAAATGTTACAATTAACTTTCTCAACTATAGTAATATATATGTATCTTTATAAAATTTATGATTCAACCAAATTTCTTCCCAACCTTCTACATGTACTAATTATAAATTATAATTATCATTATGAGGATCAACTTCATATAATTTTGTAAATTCATCTATAATATCTGGAATTTATAAATTCTTTTAAAATATTATCTCATCAGGTGCTAATTTTTGATTTTATCTAATTAAAGGAGTTGGTGTCTACTCTTGAATATCTTCTTTGTCTTCATCAATCAACTCTTCATCCATGTATTATTGAAGAGTTTTATAAATTTACCAATGCTTCGCTTTGAAGGTTTTCCTTCTATCAGGACTGATTTCAGTTTGTATTCCTCTAAACATAGCATTTTTATCAATTTCTATCTCCTCATTGATATCCATTTCATAACTTTCATCAGAAGCCATTTAAATTTGAATAATGTCATCTTAAACATTTTCAAACTTTAAAGTACTCTTTTTTCTCACTCTTCATAATCAATATTTAATCAATACTTTTTCTATTGTACATTTGCTCTTGGACTTTTCTAATCATTTTACCATAATTTCCTTGCACTTCGATTCCTTTGTAATTCACCTTTGTAGTTTCTCAAATTCTAAGCATTTAAATCACTAAAAACTAAATATTACAAAGCAATGTACCCCAATGGAAGCATTAGTGATATTAAATTAAAAATTATTAATATATATAATATTCAGTCCATTACCTAATCGAGTTGCTGAAACTAAATTACCATTTCTATATGATATCAGACCTTTCATAATAAAATGGACTTTAAAATATAATAACTTAATTTATTGTTAGATCTTCAATATTAATTAAATTTATATTTTTAAATCATTTGACAAATAATTTAAAAGAATAAAGCTTTAACACTCATTATATCCTCTCTAATAACTTCATCATGTACTCCTTAATTAGCTTTTTTAATACTCTTAAAATAACTTTTATTTAAAAAATTTTTCTATTTTGAATTCCTTTAAATTTTACTATTTAAGGAAAGTATTAAATTATCTATATTATTGTTAACCTATATTATGTAGTAAACTAATATGAAAATATTGTCTAAATGCATAGGTTTTCATTTCTAATCTTCATTTCTAATCAATTAGTCAAGATTTGCAATTTTTAAACAAATTTCTTAATACTCTCTCATCAATTAATAAGGAGAATGATTTAATTGGAAATATGTTTACTCATTATTTCCTCTCTCTCTTAAATCCAAGATGTTCAAATAATTATTGTTATCACTAATAGTTATTTCATTAATATCATACATTAATAGTTAAATTTACTTAATTAATTTTTTTAACAATTTAGTTAGGCATAATCATAATCTGAATTAATTATTTCAAATTATATAGAATTTTACTATTACAGCTTAATTGTTTCTAAGCCAAAAAACACATTAAGATAAACGCTTTTTATCAAAAATTTATTAGAATATTAATCACATTTCTACTAATACATTAAGCTAAATATGATTTTTAATATCTTTCATAAATATTTTACTTAAATTATTAAATATATTATAATAGTTGTTATGTATTCACATTATATCACTTATGTTCATTAAAAGCAGCTTTTATTATTTTTATATCTAATAAATTTTCATTAATATATTGATATCTTCTATAAATATATTATTATTCATTTTTAATACTGCGGTTTTTTGAAGGTATGATTATAATTATTATTATCAAATCTTTACACATCATCATTAATTATAGTGTATTCTCAAATAAAAAGTAATGTGTATTTGAGATCTCGCAATCATTTAATTTCAAACATGTGGTTCATGTATTTTAGAGAAATTTAATATAAAAATGAATTTGTTTAAATTTTATTTAATAAGGTCAGAATGCACCCTTGAGTTATGATTTAACATAATCGGTGAATCTTGGTTAATTTAATAAATCCAAAGCTTGATGAGCAGCATTCAATTCTTTGTTGTATTCAGCAACTGTGGCATTGTAAACATCGGTAGCAAAAGCATAATCATCATTTTCAGCTTACAATTATCCATTCAATGTATCTAAATCAGCATGTAATTCATCAATCAAATCAAGAGTTTATTCAATTTTGTCTATATTTATTTAATAAATATACTAGCATTAGCTTCAATTTCAGCTGTTTTAACAACAACTGCTCTTTAGAATTCAGCATGTTCTTAGTTTAATTGAATAACTCTTGCTTCAAAATCTTTTTAGGCTTCAGCTTCATCAGCTGTGATTGTGTTTAGTGAATCTACTAATTAAACTCTTAAGTTGTTGAATGCAACAAGGATCTTTAATAAAATCTTTTATTATTAATTACTTCTTTAAGAGCTCCTTAATCAGCGAAGTTGGCTTCAACAGCGATTTCAATAAGAGTCTTGATGAATGTTTAGAAAGTGCTGTGTCTCTTGAGGGTTTATTAAATTTTTGTCAAATTCTTCTAAACCTTTTAGATTTAAACTAAAGAAGGTGCTGATAATTGACTGAGTAAACCAAGTGATTCATCAATGGCACTAATGGCTTCATTATGTTCAGCAACCTTAGCTTCAAAATCAGCATGATCATTTGCTCTTTAGACTGTTGCCTCATTAAGTGTTTTTCTGTTTTAAGCAATATTTTCTTATAATTATTCGAGTTAGGCAGCAAATCTATCTCTTTAAGGAATAAGGACATTATCATAGAAATCATGAGCATTGAAAACCTCTAATGATGATTTTATATATAATATTACCTCTTTCTTTATCTTAGATTTCTTATTCAAGTCTTGCTACTTCTCTATTATGGACATCTGTTCTTCTTGCATATTAATGATGGACTTCAGCTAATTCTTCATCCAATTCATCAATCTAAATTAATATATTATAATACAAGTTTGGCAATTTCTGTATTTAGTTCTGCAAGGATACCACCTGTTGATAAATGGAGCTCACCAAAATTCAAGATAAAGTTTCCCCATCCTGATTATTTGATTTGGGCAAACATTTTTTAGTCATGACTAGTCCAAACTGATGCTTTGATATCAATTGCTGTTATGCTAAGAACAAGCAAAGTGCAGACTGCTACTTTTAACATATATTATTATTATTATTACAAAAGTCAAAAACGAATACTTCATTTTTATATACTGATTAATTAAATTTTGAAAATGCAAGGCCCATCATTTATATACTAAAATTTATCAATTCAAAAATCATACTCTAAAAAAAACTAAAATTCCTAAAATTTAAGAATTTTATAAATCAATTTAATTTATATATTATATCTCTTAATATTTTTTAATATAATTTTATATCTAATTAATTCTAACCTATATTCTATCCAAATTATTTCCCTATTCTTTAGACTCATCTAATTTTATTTAATATAACTTATAAAATTAAAAAATATAAAATTAATAAAGAGATAGACTATAATTTATTTAATATTTTTAATCTTAATAAAAGTATCATCTTAAACCTTTAACTAAGTTATAGCTTAAACATCAAATATTAATTTTATTAATAATTACTAATAATTAATTTATGAATCTATACAGTACTTCAAATAAAAGGCTATTTATATCAATAAAGAATAATTGCTGAATTCAAGTAAAACTGATATTAGAAGGCTAGCAAATGAAGGCAAAAATTTTAAATGCCAAATAAGAGAATTAGATGGTGAATATTATGCCAATAGAATAATTGCATTAAAAGCAGAAAATGATACAGCCTAAACGATAAGAAATTAGTCAAGTATTGCTATCCAAATATCTAAATATAAATTGATGAGTAAATTTATAAGGAGTTAAACTATATAAAAAATCAGGTTGAGACTGGTAAAAATGAATTAAAAGTTTTAAAATATTTATATTAAGTTATGTGATAATATAAGTTCAGGTAGAGATAGAAGCAATAATCCTTCAATAATAAGTTCGAAAAGTTTAGAAAATATGCATTAAAAATTGTCTCATTTATATAAAAATTATTCAGTCAATTATATTTCGAAAATTAAGAATTTTAGTAATTATGCTGTTGAAAAATATGAAGATTTTAATCAAAAATCTCAAGGCTACCATATAATATCAAATTCATTTATTAAATGGAAAAAAAAAGCATAATAAATTAAAAAAGTTAAGACGAATAATAATATATAATATAGCTAATCAATGATTATTTATTTCGTTTATTCTCAAGATTACTCATCAATTATTTCATTAATGGGTAAGAATAAAATTAAAGTAAATTAGGAAGATAAATCTAAGACTCAATCCTCTTATAGAATTTATAAATTCAAAAATAACCTCATTACAAAATTGAATGAAATAGATTGTTTTTATAGTACAAGCAGATTCTAAAAAAAACTTTATGATTATTGGTGGTAAAAGCACTTCTAAAAAGAAAATAGTAGAGTAATTAATTAGATCTATGATTATGCAACTCTAGTCAAATGTACTAAGTTACTTTATGTTAATATGAGTATCACTTATAAAATCCAGAAGTGATCTTTTATCAATTGCAGTTATTGATTTAACAATCTCTGACAGATCCATATTATTATATAAAATAGTTTTTTCATTATTAACTTTAAATCACTTAAAATCCTTAAATTTGATGATTTATTTAATAAAAAATCATATTGTATCAAAGGCTATAATATAAAATTATCAACTTATACTGAAAAACTTTAATATCATATTTTTAAAATTAATTATTTAATCTCTAGTAATAATTACTAATCTTTACAGATATTAGTTAAAGTCTTATTTAAAAAGGGGAAAGACATAATTTTATATTGAATTGTTTAGAATAAATGAATAATGATGAAACTGTTAGATTATTTTTTATAAATCCATTAAAATGTAGAATTTATGATTCCTTAAATCGATTAAAAATAATTATTAATTGAATAGAATAATTTAACCTGAAATTATTAGAATAAAACCATCATAAATTTGGTTGTCGAATATTATTTTAGTGTTTTGCTTTATATATAATTTATTTAAATAAAAATAATTAAATTACTCTATTCTTTGAATTATTAGTTAATGTGCATATCTCATTATCATTTATTAAGGAATATAAAAATATTTAATAATTTATTTTAATAGAAAAAGAAATTAAAAAAATCTACAAGTTCAAAATTAATGTGACATTTAATATATCATATAATCTAATTTATTAGAAAAAAAATAAATGAACTATTAACATAAATTGTTGTTAATAAGTAAAAGAATAATTGTCTAATTTTAATATATAATATCTTAATCCTAATAAATATAATTTATTCTATATTTATAATTCTATTTATTTTTCATAAAAGATTAGAAGGGCTTATTCTCGGCTTACTTATAATAGTGATTAGAATTTCTATAATAAATATTATTATAAGAGATGGTATTAAGTAGAGAACTTATCGAAAATAGTTTCAGCAAAAATTCAACTTAAACATTGCTTTTTAGAAAAACTGAATCATCTTATTCTAAATGTTATTAAACAAAATCAATAGTATCAGTATAATTACTAAAAGAATTTACAAATTGTCGATTAGCTAAGCATCTTAAATCTTAAAGTTAAGTATTTCTTCTTTCAATATGAGCATTTCTGGATTTCAGTTCATTCTAAACATTAATATCAATACTAATAAATAAATACTTTAATCTTTTTCATATCTTCTCACTTCAACTAGAACCTATAATTATTATATATTAATTGAAGTAAAATTTTTTAACATACAATAAATTAGTTAAATATTTCTATAAATACTTCGCACTTTACTCTTTTCTGTGTTATTCTTTTTATCAGCAATAGAAACTAATATCTTGATCAATATATTATTCCCTTAAAAATCTTAACTTTAATCATTTAAAATAAGATTAAAACAACGAATAGCTTTTCATCCTTGTTCTTTTACCTTAGTTGAGAATCACTTGACTTGAGATTTTATTATTTTTATTCAAGATTAAGATTTGTCTTCTTTATTAAGGTAATTCTATCAAAAGTAGTTTTTGAAATTGTTTCTGTATTTCTAATTCTTATTTAATATTTTAATAGAAATAGGAAAATGCAGTATAACAAATTGGTCAATACACTTTTGGATGTTCCTACAAAAGAATATCCAAAAAGGAGATTTCTTTTAACTAAACTTCTTGGTTGTGGTGCGGAAGGAGGAGCCTTTCTTGCTTCCGCCTCTGATTGGGGCAATAATCCTTAATAAGTAGTAATTAAAATACAAAAAAACATGAAACCTAATGAAAAATAATTTCTTAGTTGTTTATTAGAGTACCAAAATTTATATGAAAATGGAAATAATTAATAATATCTTCCTACTTATTTAATCAGAATATATGAAAATTTTTAATGGTAATAGAATCATTGCATTGTTATGGAAGTTGGACAAGAAGATTTATATAGTTTCATAAATAAAAGTAGGAATGTATCAATATAAGAAAAAGAACAAATTTGTTTTTAGGTAAATATTTTAATAAATATAATTATAGATTATTTACCCAATTCTATTTCTACATTAATAGAAGTTAATCCATCGAGATATTAAACCAGAAAATTATATTAAAGTAGGAAATGTTTTTAAACTTATTGACTTTGGTTTAATTAGGAGTTCGTTATCTGATGATAAAACTATATAAGTTGGTAGTACAATATTTCAAGCACCAGAAATTATAGAAAATAGAAGTGATTATACAGATAAAGTTGATATCTGGTCATTAGGATGTGTTTTTTATGAAATATTAGCAACTAAACCTTTGTTTGATGGTATAAATAAATTTATAATCTTAGGATAAACTTATTAAGAAGTAACTAATAATATTAAAAGTCATAAAAATTACCCAGTTCCTGTTAATAATAAAATCAATTAATTATAAATTTCATAATAATTTAAAACCATTTTAAGTTCAATGCTAATTTATGATGAAAAGAAAAGGCCATCAATATAATAAGTTTATGATTAATTCAAAAGTTACTTAAATCCATAATAAAAAGTAATTCCATAAATTATACCCAAACCAGATATTCCATAACAAAAATAACAATAAGAAAGTAATTAACAACAATAAATTAAGCTTCAAAATACAAATTGTGCTAATAAATCTGAAAATAATAGTTCTGAATAATAAAATTAAATTATCCAAAATAAAGAACTTAATTAAAATTAATAATAACCAAAGATTGATGATGTAATCAAAAAAGACTAGATTAAATCAGAAGAATTTAATAAATCCTAATTAATTTAGATATAAAAAATTGTTGATAGCATGGTAGAATCAAAACTTAAGGAAACTTAAAATTAATTAATATAAAGAGAATAGGAAATTAAATAGTTAAATTAGAAAATATCAGATATAACTAATGTTATGAATAAAAAACAATAAGAGGAATAAGTAAATTAGAATAAAATAAATCAAATTAATTAAGGTAAATTTAAAGAAATCGAATCTTAAGTATAATCAATATAATAGTAAAAGTCTAATAATGAAAAATATAATTAAGATGAGAAATTCTAATAATTCCAGTCAGAAATAATGATAGTATAGTAATAATTAAAATAAATATAATAATAACAATCATTGTAGAATATAGAATAATAAAGCCAATAAAAAACACAAGAAATAATTCAAGAAAATAATAAGTTGTTTAAAGAATAAGAAGTTAAACTTTAAGAATTCTTAAACAAAAATATTTAAGAATAAAATTAATAATTGACTATAAAATTGGATGAAATATAAAAAGAATTTAACAAATTTAAGGAATAATAAATGGAAATAAATAATCGATGTTTGAATATTGAATAAGATAATTAAAAAAAATAATAAGAAATATAAAATATCACTGTTTAATGTGAAGGAATTAATAAGACTATATATGAAATAAAAATTTAATAGGAAAATCTATAAAATTCATAGGTGAAAGAAACATAGTTAAATTTATCAAATTAAAATAGAATTGATGAGAAAGATAAATAGATAAGTGACATTTAGAATAAATAATGTATTTTAACTAATAAAAATGAAGACTTTGAATATCATATATTTTTTATATTGATTTAAATTAATAAGCCTACTTTATCAACTCAATATAAAAATAATTAATATGTATTATTGGAGAAATTCTAAATTTTTCAATTTTTGATGCTGCATTATATTAGATAATTTTAAATAAATATCACTTTGATAAAAGAGTTTTAGTTTAATATTAATATGAATTCTGTAAGAGTCGATACATTTATTTTAAGCATTAATTTAAATCTATTTTACAAATTTTAAAGACTTAAGACTCATGAAAATAAAATAGATAATAAAGAATTTTCTTGAGCTATTTTAATTTGTGATTGATTAACTTCAAGACATTAGGTATATATGAAAATTAATATGGTTTAAAGATATATAAGAATAAAATTAATGAAGTTTGCCAAATTTAATTAAAATATAGAATATAATAAATCATTTTAGAACATAATTTTCATTAGAAATTCATTTATAATTATTATAATCTATAGGAAGTATCTTAAGTGTAGATTTATCATCTTGTATTATTAAGAATTTCTAATTTTATTAATGTTTGAATATATTTTTATATATTGAATATAAGTTAATCAATAAATAATATAAATTAGCAACAGAATTAAAACTAACATCAAAAAGTTATTTATTTATAATAAAAATACTTCACATTTAAGAGTTTCACTAACAATAAAATTAATTTAATTACTATCCTTTGCTTATTTAATATTTTAATAGAAATAGGAAAATGCAGTATATCAATTTGGTCAATACACTTTTGGATGTTCCTACAAACGAATATCCAAAAAGGAGATTTCTTTTAACTAAACTTCTTGGTTCTGGTGCGGAAGGAGGAGCCTTTCTTGCTTCCGCCTCTGATTGGGGCAATAATCCTTAATAAGTAGTAATTAAAATACAAAATAACATGAAACCTAATGAAAAATAATTTCTTAGTAGTTTATTAGAGTACTAAAATTTATATGAAAATGGAAATAATTAATAATATCTTCCTACTTATTTAATCAGAATATATGGATATTTTTAATGGTAATAAAATCATTGCATTGTTATGGAAGTTGGACAAGAAGATTTATATAGTTTCATAAATAAAAGTAGGAATGTATCAATATAAGAAAAAGAACAAATTTGTTTTTAGGTAAATATTTTAATAAATATAATTATAGATTCTTTAACCAATACGATTTCTACATAAATATTAGTTAATCCATCGAGATATTAAACCAGAAAATTATATTAAAGTAGGAAATGTTTTTAAACTTATTGACTTTGGTTTAATTAGGAGTTCGTTATCTGATACAATAACTTAATAAGTTGGTAGTACAATATTTCAAGCACCAGAAATTATAGAAGGTAGAAGTGATTATACAGATAAAGTTGATATCTGGTCATTAGGATGTGTTTTTTATGAAATATTAGCAACTTAAACTTTGATTGATGGTATAAATAAATTTATTATCTTAGGATAAACTCGTTCAGAAGTAATTAAAAATATTAAAAATCTTAAAAATTACCCAATTCCTGTTAATTATAAAATCAATTAATTATAAATTTCATAATAATTTAAAACCATTTTAACTTCAATGCTAATTTATGATGAAAAGAAAAGGCCATCAATATAATAAGTTTATGATTAATTCAAAAGTTACTTAAATCCATAATAAAAAGTAATTCCATAAATTATACCCAAACCAGATATTCCATAACAATAATAACAATAAGAAAATAATTAACAACAATAAATTAAGCTTCAAAATACAAATTGTGCTAATAAATCTGAAAATAATAGTTCTGAATAATAAAATTAAATTATCCAAAATAAAGAACTTAATTAAAATTAATAATAACCAAAGATTGATGATGTAATCAAAAAAGACTAGATTAAATCAGAAGAATTTAATAAATCCTAATTAATTTAGATATAAAAAATTGTTGATAGCATGGTAGAATCAAAACTTAAGGAAACTTAAAATTAATTAATATAAAGAGAATAAGAAATTAAATAGTTAAATTAGAAAATATCAGATATAACTAATGTTATGAATAAAAAACAATAAGAGGAATAAGTAAATTAGAATAAAATAAATCAATATAATTAAAATAAATTTAAAGAAATCGAATCTTAAGTATAATAAATATAATAGTAAAAGTCTAATAATGAAAAATATAATTAAGATGAGAAATTCTAATAATTTCAGTCAGAAATAATGATAGTATAGTAATAATTAAAATAAATATAAGAATAATAACAATCATTGTAGAATATAGAATAATAAAGCCAATAAAAAAAATAAGAAATAATTCAAGAAAATAATAAGTTTTTTAAAGAATAAGAAGTTAAACTTTAAGAATTCTTAAACAAAAAAATTAAAGAATAAAATTAATAATTGACTATAAAATTGGATGAAATATAAAAAGAATTTAACAATTTTAAGGATTAATAAATGCAAATAAATATTCGATGTTTGAATATTGAATATGATAATTAAAAAAAATAATAAGAAATATAAAATATCACTGTTTAATGTGAAGGAATTAATTAGACTATAGATGAAATTAAAATTTAATAGGAAAAACTATAAAATTCATTGGTGAAAGAAACATAGTTAAATTTATCAAATTAAAATAGAATTGATGAGTAAGGTAAATAGATAAGTGACATTTAGAATAAATTATATATTTTAACTAATAAAAATGAAGACTTTGATTAAGAATAATAATAATAAGTTAATAATGATTAAAGTGAAAATCAATCTAATCAAAATGAAGACTTTAATTAAGGATAATAATAATAAGGTATTAATAATCCAAACAATAATCAAAATAATCTAAATAAAAGCAATAATTAAGGATAGTAATAGTAAGATATTAATGACCAAAACTATAATCAAACTAATCCAAATAAAAGCAATAATTAAGTATAATAATATTAGTAAAGTATTGATAATCAAGGATAATAAGATATTAATAACCAAGGCTAAAATCAAACTAATCCAAATAAAAGCAATAATTAAATATAATAATATTAGTAAAGTATTGATAATCAAGGATAATATGATATTAATAACCAAAACTATAATCAAACTAATCCAAATAAAAGCATTAATTAAGTATAATAATATTAGTAAAGTATTGATAATCAAGGATAATAAGATATTAATAACCAAAGCTAAAATTAAACTAATCCAAATAAAAGCAATAATTAAATATAATAATATTAGTAAAGTATTGATAATCAAGGATAATAAAATATTAATAACCAAAACTATAATCAAACTAATCCAAATAAAATTATTAATTAAGAAGAAGCTAACAACCTTATTTTAAATAATGATACTTAAAATATCTAAAATGAAGTAAATTAATAAAATGATAGTTTGAGATTATTACTTCATTAAAAAGATAACTAAATCAAATAATATATGTAAGAAAAACAATAAGTTATGCAATTATTCAAATAATACACAATAATATTGGTCTAAGATTTAAAAGATAAATTAATAAATTAAGTTATGATTAATGAACAAAATATAAATAATTAATTAAATTCTCAATAATAAACTTAAGATTAAGAATTATCAAAATCTTAACAATAATTAAGTGATTAATTATCAAATAATTAAGTATGCAACAATTAAATAAATGAAGTATAAATTAATGAATCTTCTGTAGACAATCCTTAGTTAAATATATTATCAACACAGGAGTACAACAATCTCTTTGAAAATTTAAAAACTGAATTATAGTAAATTTTATTAGTTTAAGAAAATAGAAATAATAATAAGTTAAAGGAAATTACTGAATAACACTTGAATCAAATTGAATATATAACATAAGTCTTTTAAAAAGAAAAAGAAGAATAAATTCATTTAAATAGACAAATTGAAAATAGTAATCAAGATTTAAAAAAATAATTAGAATAATTAATTGAAAGTCTTAATTAATAAAAATCATAATCTTAAGAATTGTAATAAAATAGTTAAAAAGAATTGAATGATTTGAAATAAGATTTAGTAGTGTGTTAATAGACAAGTTAAGCAGAGAAAGAAAGACAAAGTAAGGAAATTAATGAATTGAATGAAAAAATAAAAAAGCATGAAGAAGATAACAAGATTCAAAATGAAAAAATAAAAAAGTATGAAGAAGATAACAAGATTCAAAATGAAATAATAAAAAAGTATGAAGAAGATAACAAGATTCAAAATGAAAAAATTAAAAAGTATGAAGAAGAGATCAAGATTCAAAATGAAAAAATAAAAAAATCTGAAGAAGAGATTAAGATTCAAAATGAAATAATAAAAAAGTATGAAGAATATAACAAAATTAAAAATGAAAAAATAAAAGAGCTTGAAGAATAGAATTTAAATAAAAATTAAGAATTACAAAAAATAAATTAAGAAAATTAACAATTTAAAGACAATCTAAATTAAGCAATATAACCTTAAAACCAAGTGAACGCCTTAATTGAATTCTTTAAATAGAAGTAGAATTTAGATGGTTTTATAGAAAACAATAGTGAAAAATATATGGAATTGGTTAATCTGTTAAGTGGAAGTAATTGATATATTTATAAACTAATTAGAATTATTTTTTTAATAAATATCATTGTTTGTTCTTTTTGCTTAAATTCACCGAATATTATTTTTCATTAAGATCTCTGAATACCACACTTGAAATTACAATTAGAGTCAATTTAATTGATAATATTATCATGTAAAATATTTTTGAAAGTAATTACTTATTCTATTTACAACTAAAAAAAATTGCAGATTATTCTTATTTACTTTTACATAATCTAAATTCATAAAATATAAAATATTTATCTAATTATGTGTTGATCTGTTAAAAATATTTTTGATTAAATTTATTAATAAAATCACAAGAGTGCAATGATAATAATTTTAAAAAATAGAAAACCATTTATATTATTTGTAAAGTTTTAATCTATTATTTCTGATACAATTAAATTTCATTTAGTAATAATATTATAAAATAATTTCGTTAAATTCAAATTTTATATTTTTTGATCTTTCTTTAATCATTTAGCATTTATTTATCTTAATAAAGGTCTTTTAAAAATCTGGTTCTAAGCTATTTAATAAATTACTCAATTTTTGTTTTAATAGAATAATTTAAAAATCAATTATTAAAATTTGGAATAATTTTTGGATTTATGTTTTACAAAATTTTAAATTTAATGAACAATAAACTAATTAGTGTTTCTGCTTTTTAATCATAATTTATAAACAGCAGAATTGATCTCTATTATAATTGTATAAAATAAATGAAGATATTCCAGATATTGATTGGTAGTGGTGAACATTTCTAATTAATTTTAAAATGTATTTAGATTTACTCTATATTATACTTTTTCATCATTGCTTTCGGCAAGAGAATATTATTTTGTCCTTAGTTAATTTTCATTTAAGGTTTTTAGTTACTAATATTCTTAAATAAATATTTAATAACCATTTTCTAAGATTTTTAGAATTGCTGTTGAGAATATAACTAGAAAAAATAATTAGATTATTTATAATAATTTAAATAAACTTATATCTAATACTATTCCTAATTATAAATTTTATTTTGGCTATATATAGGATAAATTATGAATCTAATTAGATATAATTCTTGAGTGGCTTAGTTACGAAATGGGAATTAATTGTTCTTAAAGATATCAAAAGAATTACTAGTTAATAACCAAAAATATATTGTATTTTATAAAATAAGCAATATTGTATGGTTGTTAGTTAATGAACAATAATTCAGTAAAAATTAATTTTAATGGAATTTAAGAATTGAATAAATTAGATAAGCAGAGGAGTTAAGAGATAATATTAATTGTAGTTTCAAAGATGATGTTAGAAATAATTTAGATCAATAATTTTTAAGATATGAGTATTTTCATAAAGATATTATTTTTAGGGTAAATTAGAAATATTTTAGCTTTAGTCAAAGATCAAGAATGGCTTATTCCTAAATGATTTAAGTTACATAACTAGCTAAAATTGACGAAAATTAAATTTGATAGTGATTATCTATTTTTTTAGATCTGTTCTTAATAAAGTCAATTTTACAGATTTATTTTTACAATAATAAAACTTATCACAAAAACACTTATCTAAATATTAATTAATTAATTATTAAGCCTTATAAAGGTTTAAATGGGAGAACTTATCAAAAATAAGATGTTTTGGTAAAATTTAAGAAATTTAACTATAAATTATAAAGGATGTTAATGATAATTATTAATATTGCATAATGAAATCAGTTTCTGCTTGCAATAAATTGTGCTGTAGTTGACAATTTTTCACTAATGTGTTCTTAGAGTCTGTCAACAATATCTTATTGGGCTTGTCTATGAATAAGAATGTAACTAACCTTTCAGCAGTTTAAGTTTCATAGATTTAGGATTAAACAGCATACCATGCTTGTTATCCAGCAAGTCTTTCTTCACTGTTTTCTAATTCTAAAGTGTGGAATTCAATCCATGATTGAGCATCTTCAATAGTGTCTTNAATAAACTAATTAGTGTTTCTGCTTTTTAATCATAATTTATAAACAGCAGAATTGATCTCTATTATAATTGTATAAAATAAATGAAGATATTCCAGATATTGATTGGTAGTGGTGAACATTTCTAATTAATTTTAAAATGTATTTAGATTTACTCTATATTATACTTTTTCATCATTGCTTTCGGCAAGAGAATATTATTTTGTCCTTAGTTAATTTTCATTTAAGGTTTTTAGTTACTAATATTCTTAAATAAATATTTAATAACCATTTTCTAAGATTTTTAGAATTGCTGTTGAGAATATAACTAGAAAAAATAATTAGATTATTTATAATAATTTAAATAAACTTATATCTAATACTATTCCTAATTATAAATTTTATTTTGGCTATATATAGGATAAATTATGAATCTAATTAGATATAATTCTTGAGTGGCTTAGTTACGAAATGGGAATTAATTGTTCTTAAAGATATCAAAAGAATTACTAGTTAATAACCAAAAATATATTGTATTTTATAAAATAAGCAATATTGTATGGTTGTTAGTTAATGAACAATAATTCAGTAAAAATTAATTTTAATGGAATTTAAGAATTGAATAAATTAGATAAGCAGAGGAGTTAAGAGATAATATTAATTGTAGTTTCAAAGATGATGTTAGAAATAATTTAGATCAATAATTTTTAAGATATGAGTATTTTCATAAAGATATTATTTTTAGGGTAAATTAGAAATATTTTAGCTTTAGTCAAAGATCAAGAATGGCTTATTCCTAAATGATTTAAGTTACATAACTAGCTAAAATTGACGAAAATTAAATTTGATAGTGATTATCTATTTTTTTAGATCTGTTCTTAATAAAGTCAATTTTACAGATTTATTTTTACAATAATAAAACTTATCACAAAAACACTTATCTAAATATTAATTAATTAATTATTAAGCCTTATAAAGGTTTAAATGGGAGAACTTATCAAAAATAAGATGTTTTGGTAAAATTTAAGAAATTTAACTATAAATTATAAAGGATGTTAATGATAATTATTAATATTGCATAATGAAATCAGTTTCTGCTTGCAATAAATTGTGCTGTAGTTGACAATTTTTCACTAATGTGTTCTTAGAGTCTGTCAACAATATCTTATTGGGCTTGTCTATGAATAAGAATGTAACTAACCTTTCAGCAGTTTAAGTTTCATAGATTTAGGATTAAACAGCATACCATGCTTGTTATCCAGCAAGTCTTTCTTCACTGTTTTCTAATTCTAAAGTGTGGAATTCAATCCATGATTGAGCATCTTCAATAGTGTCTTTCTATTCTTAGATTTAGACTTCCAATTAAGCTTTTCTTTCAACCAATCTAGTATGTTCATTAGCTAAATGGACAGAAAATTCAGCCCAATGAGCAGCCTATCTATCTTCAACATCCTTGTGATTAAAAATAATCTATACAGTTTTTGCAGCCTTCTCACTAACTAATTATTGTCTAATTTCACTCAAAAGTTAAGCAATTTTTGTCAATGCCTTTTGGTTAACTCCATGAGTAGCAAGTTCTGTAAGAGCTGTGATGACTGGCTATTGATTTATTCATTTTTTAAATTACTTGTAATAAAGCACTGTGACTAGTGTTATCTGAAAGCTTTTTGTGAAGGGTGTCGTATTTGGTCTTTAATTAGGCAAATGAGGCTCCAAGACTCAAATGTTAGATCAATTTGGCAGCTTCATCAATAGCATCAATAACATCATCAATAGCAGCTACTTTAGCAACAAAAGTTTCATGTTATTAATTTCTTGTGGCTTCTTCTCTAGCATATATGGCCTCATTGTTAGCAATATCTTAGATTGTAACTCTAATATCTTCTTCTGAGACTGCCAATGCTTCTATGGTATCATCTCTCAATTAGGTATTTGAAGAAATTTGATTTTAATGATATAAAATCTCTTTTTCTAAATCTTCAACAATCTGAATTTACACAAATCATTACTCTATTGTTTGTGGTTGTGTCAAGTTCAAATGCATGATCATGATCATTTTAGTCTTGTACAATACCAGCACCAACACCATTTAATAACATGTTTACCTCATTGGCTGGAGTCTAAGCAAGAAGATGAGCCTTGATAGCAGACAATATGACATGTCCAAAAGGATCAGCATTAATTTAAGCTAAACTAGTGTGAGTATCAACAAACTTAGCAGTTGTGATAGCAAGAACTAATGCCAAGATGGCTAATTTTTACATGTAATTTAATATTGAATTAAAAACGGATCGAATTAACTCATTAAAATAACAAAAATTCTCATCCATATTATTATTTAATTCTTTAGACTATACATCAAACCTTTATATATATTTAAAACTATTTCATTTATTTTTTATTTTTATCTGTTCTTATTTCATTTAAAATATATTACATATTAATGTATTATAAATTAAAATGATATCATTGTAGTATTTCTTTATAATAATCAAGATAAAATTCTCCATAAATAATATCTATTAAGAAGTATTCTAATTTTATATAAAGTAAATATTACTGATTATACCTCACATTTAATACAAAAATAATTAAAACTAATATTTTTTCAGAGCATACTAATTCTCAAAATTATAGTTGAAAATTCTTATATGATAGATGCTTAATTTATAACTTAAATAGTCTTATATTTTGAAAATCTTAGATAATTTTTAAATAATTCAATATTCTTCTTACATATTTTGTAGATAAATAATTTTAGAATCTGAAAATAGATTTCAAGATATTATAAATTTAAACTATTATAGAATAAATGAATTAGATTATTCATTATAGACATTATCCGAAATTATTTGAGTAAGAAAATTATATATTAATCTAGATTACATTTGTATATATTAACGAAATCGAATGTGAAAAACTATATTATTAATTTGAAATTTTATCAAAATACCAACAATGAACATTAAGCCACGACTTTATGGAGATGCAAATTTAAAAAAGAGACCATCATACTTTGAATTTGAAAACATAGATATTCATTATGGGTATGTAAAATGTTTATTGTATAGACAACTTGACAATTATGAAATTGTAAGAAAAATTGGAAGAGGAAAATATGCAGAAGTTTTTGAAGGAATCAATGTAAATACACTTCAAAAGGTTGTTATCAAGGCTTTGAAACCAAGTATTAAATATTTAATAGACAATAGTAAGATAGAAAAAGATAAAGAGAGAAATCAAAATATTACAAAATTTGAATGGGTAAAACAATGTATTGAAATTACTTGATGTTGTATTTGATCCCGCTTCTAAGACTACAAGTTTGATTTTGGAATTCATTAATAACACAGATTATAGAGTTTTATACCCTTAATTGTAGGATCAAGATGTTCGCTTTTATATGTATGAAATTTTGAAAGTATTTTAAATTTACATTTATATATATAGTCTTTAGATCATTGTCATAGTATGGGTATAATGCATAGAGATATCAAACCTCATAATATAATGATTGATCATGAAAAGAAGTTATTAAAATTGATTGACTTTGGATTGGCAGAATTCTATTTCCCTAATAAAAATTATAATTGTAGAGTGGCATCTCGATATTTTAAATCTCCTGAACTTCTTTTAGATTATTAATATTATGATTATAGTTTAGATATTTGGAGTTTGGGATGTTTATTTGCTGGAATCATCTTTTAATAAGAGCCATTCTTTCATGGATAAGATAATAATGATCAATTAGATAAAATAGCAAGAGTATTAGGAACAGATGATTTGATGAATTATCTCTAGAAATATAATATTTAATTGGGTCCAAACTTTGAGAATGTACTAGGATAACATCCTAAAAAACCATTTAATAAGTTTGTGAATGAAGATAATGAACATTTGGCAAAAGCTGATGCAATTGAATTATTATAGAGTATGCTTATCTATGATCATGTAATAAAATTATTTATATAATTCTAGAATTTAAGAATTACAGCCAAAGAAGCAATGTTGCATCCCTATTTCCAATCAATCAGAAAGAACTCTAAAAGGTAATGATAGTTAGAGTCTTAAATTAATACATTAAATAAACATCTTATATTATAATAAAGTCTTGTTTCTATTAGATATTTATTTAATTGTTAATTTTACAAAAAAAATTACAATTTAAAAAAATCTTTAGAAATTTCAATTTTATCATTCTATTATTAAAACACAAAAATTTATGGAAATATTGTTCAATCTTATCATATAATAAAAATTATAAATATGTGATTATTAAGCAATAAATTTATTAATATAAAAATTATCAGACATATTCAATAGGCTTTGCTTGATTTCAGTATCCTTTGCAATGATTATTAAAGTGTGGATAATTCATGAGCATGACTATACATATAATTATAAAATTATACCCTCTAGTAAAATTAGTTAATTCAGTTCTTGGAATTGCATTCAATTTAGCTGTTAATTATACTATATCTGATTATGAAATTGAAGGAGTGTTTCGATTTAGTCTCTCATTAAATTAGATTGATTTATTATAATTAAGTTATGGACCAGATTAATAGATTATATCATTTCCCATTCTTGTAATCCCAGTATTTTATAATTACAATTCAATATCCAATTTAGAGTCCCAATTCTTAAATCTATCTATTTTCTATTTAGCTCTTGTAGGTGAATCTTAAAATGATTATTTTTATTGAGGTTTATGAATCATTGGAGATGAACTCTAATGAATGCTACTATACACAACTTATGTTTGTTTACGAGGACTAAAATTATTATTATACTATTTACTGAAATTCTCCAACAACTAAACCATCAAGACCTCTTTATTTTCTTTCTGGTGATTCTCTGAACAACCGCATTCTTACAGGGGATACATTAGTAGTATTTGCTGCTTTTACTCCTTTATGAAAAGAGTGGTCAGCATTCCCTATTTTACTTATAGCTGTAGATAAAATTCCAAGTTGATTGCTTTACTTATAAATTTTGCTTGTGTCTCCTAAATTAATTGAGCTTGTATTTAACATTATTTTATTGCAATTTTATTTTTAATAGTAAATTTATTACTCTTAAAATATTACTATTTATATTGTTTTTTTTTATACAATTTTAAGTATTTTCATAATGATTATTAGGTTAACAATAGATACAGAGATCTTATCATTATAATTAAAATAAATTTATTATTATTCATTTTCTTTAACTAGAATCTTATTTTCTAATAAAGTATATGTGTCTGATAGAAAAGTATTTATTTATGTATTAAATTATCTTTGAAATATTAAGATAATTATTTAGTTTTGCATTTTTATTAAATTAACCATAGATATATTGAATTTTCTTCAAAAATTAGAGATATACAATCTTATTTTAATTTTATATATAACAAAAAATGTATAAATAAAAATTGATATTCTATAACAAAAAGTATTATTATTTTATGTAAATGAATTAATAGTTTACTATAAATTCAGTCATTCATGCTCCAGCTACTGGATTTCCAAATAGATAATTTAAGATTATCAGTGAGATTGGTTTTGGAGGTCAAGGTACTATTTACAAAGCAGAAGTATTTTAATGGAAAAAAGAAATTCCAAATTATGTTGCAATAAAGAATTAGCAGAAATACAATGATTATGAATAATAGATTATTCAAAAGATTGTTAATTATTAAGAGAAATATGAAATTTAAAATTCAAATAAATAACCCTCTTAATTAGTAAAAATTTATGATATTTTTAATTACAATTCATAATAAGTTCTTGTGATGGAAGTTGGATAAGATAATCTTGACTATTTTTTAAAGAAATAGAAATTATCATTTGACAAATAATTAGAAATAATGATTTAGGTATTTTATTTTTAATAAATAAATTAGTTGTCTCAATCCATTCTTTTTTTTCATCAAGAGTTAAAATCAATTCATAGAGATATTAAACCAGAAAACTTCATTTTAATTGGAGAGGAATTCAAACTTATTGATTTTGGTACAGCTAGATTTAATACTAATGATGAAAAGACAATCTAGATGGGAACTATTCAATATTAATCACCAGAGTTATTTCAAAATTAATCTAACTATACTGAAGCAGTTGATATTTGGTCACTTGGTTGTGTATTTTATGAAATTTTATGTTAAAATCAATTATTTTATGGTATTTATTTTAATTAAGGAAGGAAAAAATTACATGGTTGTTAAATAACTTATCCAGAACTGTATAACCAATTAAAAAGATATAATAGATAAAATTAACTCACTTAATTCAGATGAGAGAATGAAAAACATTTTAAAGTAAATGCTTTATCCTAATTCTTAAATGAGAATAAAAATTGATTAAGTTATAAAGATTCTGAAAGAGATTCAAAGTCATAAAAATCCTTTAATTTAAAAACCAAATTTTAATCCAAACTTTAATTAAAATAACTATCAAAATTAATTTTTACAGAATCTTCCTATTCAAAAATTTTAACCCAATAAGGAAGATTGTAAATTTCCATAAATTTTAAATAATCCTTCACCAAATAATATAAACCAATTGAATTTATTAATTGAAAAATTCTAAGATTATAGTTCATAACACTAAATATAAATATCCGTTATTTAAGCATAATTAACATAAATTTACAATTTATAAACGAACAGTTAAAAAGAGTAAGAATCAAAATAAAATAATATATTTTAAGAATTTAAAGATTTAAAAATTCAGATCTAAACAAATCTAAATAAAGAATTAGAAAATTAATTAAAAAAAATACATTAAGATTTAATTGTCAAATAAACTGAAAAGGATCATCATATTATTGAATAAAAAAATGAATAAATTAAAGAATTAATAAAAAAAGTAGAAGATCTAAATAATTAAGTTTCAATTCTTAAACATAGTGAAAAGAACTTGCTTAATTAAATTGAATAAAAAGATGAGCAATTTAAATTGTATATTATAGATTAAGAAAAAAAAGCAGAATAAAAATTTATTTAAATAAGTGAAAATTTTATTATATCCCTTGAATAAATTACTTAAAAGTAAGAATAATATTTTTAAGACCAATAAAAATAAATTTATGAAATACTATTTTAAAACCTTAATTGTTAGGAGATTAAACCAAGTGATAAATTAGTTCATAACTAAAATTTTTAATAAATATAAACTCTAAATTCAGTAGGATTTTAACCAAGGCAGTCTAATACCTTAATTAACAATAAATTATATATGCCAACTTAAAATAGATAAATACAAAAAGAATTTCAAAATCTAATTTTAGATAAAAAAAAATAAACTTAGAAGGATGAAAATATAGTTAGAAGCATTAGATAAAAAATTTAGACACTTAATAATTAAATAAATGATACAATTTCTGGAATCAAGAATTAATTCTCAGTTGATAATTATATAGTTATACCTTAAAATATCAAAACTCTTAATGATCTAATATAATAATTTATAGGTGAATTGAAAAATGAATTAGATACATCTTGCTATGATTTTATAGAAATGATAGATGGATTCAAAATTTAGTTTATGAAATTGAAAGTATAATACAGAGGATAATAAGAAAATTTATTTGATACTTTTAATGAATTGTCAGAAGCTCTAGCATAAACCATTTAAAATTTAAAAGAATTTCAATCTCAATCTGAAAAAATAGTATTTAAATTACCTAAAATATGAATAACCTATAGAATTAAAAATTTTTAACATACCATAACAATATAATATAAATATTAATAGTAAATTTAAAATTTCATCTTTAAAATAAATGATTTCGCCAAAACTTGTTTTTAAAGATCTTAAATAGAAGTTTTAAGAAAAATGTAAGTTTAAAGAATCTAAAAGATAAAAATTATTTTCAAAAAAATAACATTAAGAATTATTAAATGATAGTATCAAACATAAAATATATTAAATTCTTTTGATAAACTAATTTATTTTTGATGATTATCTAATTATGGAAATCTCTCTTTCTATTTTCAAAAATGTTTAGAGTCAAATTAAAAGATTAAATTTTAATTTTCTAATTTTAAAAGTTTATGAATAGAGAATGATTATAAATCCTTATTAACTTTAAAATGAATCTTCCATATATTTTACTTTAATTGTGTAACTAAAATATGAAAGTATAAATATATTTACTTTGGAAATTAATTTTAAATAATCATCTATTACAAAAAATCTGCCACAATTTCTAAAATTATATCATTTTAATTTAACATTTGTTCTACTTAATTGGTTTAACTTATTCAATATTTTATAATTTAAGATCCTTTTAGTTTATATATATCTTTTATATATTTAATAAATAAATATGATAAATTTTGTAACTTTAGAATTTTAAGAGTCAAATTGAACTAAACCCTGGGGTTATCATTTTAATATTTATCTTTTTTAGTTAGCTAAATTCGAATTTTGTAAATAATTTTTCCAGATTTACTTTGAGTCATAAGTTACTCATAATCTTGCTATACAATAGAACCCCTAAAGTTACAATTAATTTCAAAGATATTAAACTATCTTGTAAATGTTTATTAATTATTTGTAATAAACTTATGATTATACTGATAATTATTTATTATTTTATGTATGAAAACTTTAAAGTCAATTAGACAGTAATAATAAATAGCTTAGAAAATGAAAATTTTATTTTCAAACAAAAAAAAATGCAATTTAAAAACACAAATATTAAATATAACCTAAGAAACTAAATTTGATCTCAAGTATTTCATGAAATATTAATAATATTGATTGATTTAGTCTAATAAAAATAAATAATTTAGTCTATGTTTAAAGTTATATTTATTAGTAAAATAAATTTTATTAGTTTATAAATTAATCAAAAACATCATTATTTATTCATAATTTGTATTTTATAAATATATCAATTACTTCCACTTAACAGACTAACCAATTCCATATATTTTTCACTATTGTTTTCTATAAAACCATCTTAATTCTACTTCTATTTAAAGAATTCAATTAAGGCGTTCACTTGGTTTTAAGGTTATATTGCTTAATTTAGATTTTCTTTCAATTGTTAATTTTCTTAATTTATTTTTTGTAATTCTTAATTTTTATTTAAATTCTATTCTTCAAGCTCTTTTATTTTTTCATTTTGAATATTAATCTCTTCTCCATTATTTTTAATTTTTTCATTTTGAATCTTGTTATCTTCTTCATACTTTTGTATTTTTTCATTTTGAATCTTGTTATCTTCTTCATACTTTTTTATTTTTTCATTTTGAATCTTGATATCTTCTTCATACTTTTTTATTTTTTCATTCAATTCATTAATTTCCTTACTTTGTCTTTCTTTCTCTGCTTAACTTGTCTATTAACACATTTCTAAATCTTATTTCAAATCATTCAATTCTTTTTAACTATTTTATTACAATTCTTAAAATTATGATTTTTATTAATTAAGACTTTCATTTAATTATTCTAATTATTTTTTTAACTCTTGGTTACTATTTTCAATTAGTCTATTTAAATGAATTTATTCTTCTTTTTCTTTTTAAAAGACTTATGTTATATTTTCTATTTGTTTCTTTAAATCTACAATTTCGATATTTAATTATTCTTTTTCTTATGAAGAAACCTATGTGATATTTTTTAATTAATTATTTTAATCTGCAATTTCATTATTTAAAATATTAATTTGACTTTTGTGTTATTCTTTAATTAAATTTAACTAATCTTTATTTCTATTTTCTTAAACTAATAAACATTCATTAATTTATTTCTATAATTCAGTTCTTAAATTTTCAATGAGATTGTTGTACTCCTGTGTTGATAATATATTTAACTAAGGATTGTCTACAGAAGATTCATTAATTTATACTTCATTTATTTAATTGTTGCATACTTAATTATTTGATAATTAATCACTTAATTATTGTTAAGATTTTGATAATTCTTAATCTTAAGTTTATTATTGAGTACTTAATTAATTATTTATATTGTGTTCATTAACCATAACTTAATTTATTAATTTATCTTTTAAATCTTATTATTTTAATTATTGCATAACACATTGATTTTCTTACATAATTTAATTGGTTTAGCTATCTTTTTAATCAAATAATAAACTCATTCTATCATTTTGTTTATTAACTTCATTTTAGATATTTTAAGTATCATTATTTTAAATAAGGTTGTTATCTTGTTCTTAATTATTGCTTTTATTTGGATTAGTTTGATTATAGTTTTGGTTATTAATATCTTATTATCCTTGATTATCAATACTTTACTAATATTATTATACTTAATTAATGCTTTTATTTGGATTAGTTTGATTATAGTTTTGGTTATTAATA